TCTTACGTCGGGCAGACGGGCAGAAAACTAAAAACCAGAATTGCGGAACACCGTAACCACATTCGATACAAAACGTCTACCCGCTCCGTTATCACCGAGCATAGACTTCTTTACAATCATGATTTTCAATGGGACGATGTTCAGATCCTTGATGAAGAACCTTCTTACAGAAAGCGGCTAATCTCTGAAATGTTACATATCAAAAAACAAAAAAATAGTTTGAATCTACAAACTGACACCGAAAGTCTCCACAAAGCGTATATACCGATAATAAACAAAGTATGACTTTCGATTTTGTCGGCCCGTCTCCTCTCCTCTCTCAGTGCGTTATATTCCGTTTAAGCGAGCGGTCACGTCGTGAGCAACGTCGACATGTCTGGCTCTGGCATGTACAATATTGCCGGAGTGTTACGGCTTACATATGGTTCACCTGTGCATGAGCGGGGGATCATTTTGATTTGTTCGGGTTTGCTGGTGAGTTTGTAATTTTATCTGTATAACGGCGTTTTTAATTGTCAAAGTCTGTCTTTTTTCTCATAACTTTTTTTTTCGGTCTTGTCTAGCGATCTGTGCTTGGACAATGGACACCTTGATTACTCAATCGTACTTTTAAGATCCATCTGAATTTTACTTCTTCACGTCTAATGTTAATTGCGACATGAATTGTTTTTTACTTAATTTTCACTTATCGTCTATTTCTCTTTTGCGCTTTATATCTGAAGAGGGCTCAATCTTGTAGCCGAAACTTGTTATATTTTTATACATGTTTATACATTTACACATTGATATACGCCGTTCCGTATTTGCGCATGTATCGTCGCATAATAATTTTAAGTAATTAAATGTTTTGTTTTTCTCTTTATAATCTACTGACTCTTCTTTCGCCGTGTATCTGTTTGTTTATTTACGTTAAACGTAATTATTAAGTAAATCTGTTAAAAAAATAAGAGTATCGATAAAGTGTGCATAAAAATAAGTTAATATATTTAAAAAAATTTATACTAATGTGAGTTTGTCTAGCCCGTGCCACAAACCGCGCACTAACCATACTCCATGTATAGTAATATCAGCGAAAGAAATAGGCGGTACGTGATACGCGGTTCCCTAGTTGCCTAGTTAATTACTATACCGCATACTGCGCTCCATATAATCGCACCATTAGAGAGCGTTTATATTGGCCAGGTGGGGATCCGAATATAGTCTCAGATGTATAATTCTGACGATATTATTAAACAAAATCTCTATAAGCTCGACCAGCCTGACTTGGAATATTCCTATAATACAACCGCCATCTCAGGTATCAATCATAAAATTTTATCTTTAGGATAAAAAGTGAAAATTTTTTACCATTAAAATAATGGAGAAATTTTTCACTTTTCACTTTCCATCCTAGAGGTAGAGTTTCATGATTGATACCCAGAGCTGTGTTCGGATTCTCATCTGAGTGCTCTCCAGATGTCATATCATCCTTGTTGTTTATCGAATATTAAACAAAGATAGCATGACACTTGAGGAGTACCCGAGTGGGAATCCAAACGCAGTCCCGGGTGACTCGTTTTTTCCAGAGGCCCTATTTTTAAAAAGTATCGCATACAAAAAACTAGAGAAATGCTATAGTATATAATGCATACTATAGTATTTTCCTAGTTTTTTGTATGTAATACTTTTCAAGAATAGAGACCCTGAGATCGTCGGGTGTCCTTATCTCTCGCCATCTATCGAACGACAACTTCCGATTTGTGTTCTCCGTTTAGGCATTCATTGATTATCCTCTGAACCATTTATTATTTTTGTCCGTTTTGAATCTGAGAGTGCCATTACATGAAGCACTGAAATGCGGAAATGCAAAAGACAAAATTAACTAAACTTTACTAGATTTCTGCGTTTCTGTGTGTTCTGTTTTGGCTGTTTTGATCTCCTAATATTGCATGGAGCACAATTTCTGCGGAAAAGCGGAACGATATAGTGACAAATACACTTTTGTATTTATTTAAAAAAAATTGTATTCACTTAATTCATTGCAATTTGTATCAATATGTTTATTTTTTCAGCTTATGTATTAAATACAAGTATTTTAATTAATAAACCGTTAAAAATTAATAATTTCTAATTCCCCGTTCCGCTTTTCCGTTTATACCTTAACGGAAAGCAGAAAGTGAAAAAACAGTGGCCAATCAGAACTCGCGTTGATAATAAGTAGTACAAAAAAGCCAAAATTGTAGACTACCTAAAGTTCTGATTGGTTCCTGTTTTTTTACTTTCCGCTTTTTCATCAAGGTGTGAATGCGCCCTTAGGAGATCAAAACTAGAGAATCTATAATAAGAATACAGACAACAGAGTATGAATGAAATAAAACCGGAAACGCATCAAAACGCATTTTCAAATGTGAAGTGTAAAATTGAAATTGTACATATAACAATGGGTACATTCAGCAGAACACGTTTTATAAATGTTTGCTGAAATAAGGCTATATTTCTAGATCTTAAAATATAATTTAATCAACGCGAAAAAATTTCCAACAATTGCAAAGTAAAGTGCTGAACGCAGAGGGAGAGAGCCAATGATTTTATAATAAATAAATTAAAGTAAATGACAACACACACAGAGATAAATACACATAGAATAAAGTATTTTGTTTAAAAATGAATTTTGAAATGAGCTTAAAAATCAGATTTGAGTATTAACTATCTTTTTAAAAATTCAATTTTTTGTTAGGTATATAAATACTTTATTATAGTATATATAATATTTGTCAATTTAAATCCAAAACATCAGTGACGATAGAATTGCATAATAATGCAAAGTAATAAATTAATATACAATTACGTTCTCTCTCTATCTTCATTTTCGTCTTCCTTCTTCTTTGTTTTCATATGTCAGTGTTTCGAAGAAATCAATCTAGATAAAATCAAACAAAGAAATTATGTGCATAAACAAACATACACAAACACACACATACACACACACACACACACAAAATCAAGAATCATAAAAATCAATCAGTAATGAATCATTAAAAAAAAATTAATAAAATAAAGCTTTTTATCACTATAGTAAGATTTTTTTTCGCTGGAAACAGTGTAAATGGTGCACTGATATTACACACGGATATACAACTTCCGCATTCTTCACTGGCATTCAAGAACACCAGAGGATATCCGACCGGGCACTTCATGGTAAGAGACTTCTTTCCACATTCCGGACAATTGGAATCTGTCGCCGATGAATTGCCCTTAGCATATGTCCCACGTATTTGCGTTTGCGCGCATCTATCGACATTCAAATCTTGGCGGTTAGTCCGTTCTCCACGTGGTGCATGTTGCGTATCTTCGCTATTCTTCCAGCATAGGAAAAGCGGTACCATCAAATGCCCTGAATGTTATACTTCCGCGTCGTATATTCATTTGCGGCTTCTTGAACGTTTCGAATCCTGTAGTACACGTTCCGTATTAACTGTTACTCGGCATGCCGTCGCAAATTGTCCCAATTATCCCGAAGTGCTGAAAAGATTCTTCGCTTATCTAAAAAGAGCGAGAGAGCAACCGTGGAGCGATCCGAAATCCACCATAGTCGGCGTATCTAGTGTCCGGCTTTAGCCAATCAATTAATTGGACAAACACGGCCGAGACTTATTTCGAGGCGCAAACCGCCGATCGCGAAACAATTTTAAACCTAGAATCTCGGGTTAATTCGAAACCGGGAACCGGCCGAACCTCTCCGGGACGTAAGATCTAATAGAATAATTCTGTAATTGGCGATTTGCTAATCCGCTTATGCACAAACCGTTCATGAGACATTAAAAACTCAATTGTCGCGTACATAAAACGGCGGATGCTTCAATAGGCGAATACGTGCGTACAGCGATACGCGTCATGAGACGACACCCTAATGGCATCCTCAGGGAGCGATTACATGTAGCACGGTATGCGGTACGCGGTACAGAAACTAACTAGGTAACTATAGAAATTGCGTAAACCGTGCCGTTTACTTCTTTTCTCTTCTATTACATGTAGCGCGGTAAGCGACACGGCTGATAAATAAACTTTAATATAAATTTTTTTTAATATATTAATTTATTTCTATGCATATTTTATCAATACTCTTATTTTTTCAACGGATTTACTTAATAATTGCATTTAAATCAATTAATTTTATTAAAATGTACTTAATAACTTTGTTGAGTGAATTTGTTACTGACCCATGTCTCTTACCGCGCTACATGTAATAGTTCCGGCACATCAGCGCAATGTTTGTCGCGCGCGATACGCGATATCCAATGAGAGTATATCATTAAAATGAAAACATCAATAAAGCTGTACACTCATTGGATATCGCTTATCGCGCGCGACAAACATTGTGCTGGTGTGCCGGAGGTATAATAAAAGAGAAAAGAAGAAAGTGGCACGGTTTGCGCAGTTCCTGTTGTACAGTTATCTAATTAGTTTCTGTACCGCGCTACATGTAATCGCACTCTGATTAATATTACATGCATCCGTTTTTGTGGTACGACGAATTTTTCAAGCGTGTTAATTGACTGCAAGACAGAAAGAATCTTGGACCTTTTTGTCTTGTAGCTAATCCTGATGCATATAAAGGTCATTTTATATTAGTCGTATCGTAGCGCCGGAAGCGTTTTAAGCATCATATGACTTTAAAATTGAAGCATCGGATTGATTGAAGCGACAAGCTTGTGACATCTACGATACGACCAATGTAGAATGGCCTTAGAATGGCCTGAAGCTGTAAGAAATAGAGAGCGGTTTACTTGCACACTGTAACAATTGCCCATTGCCAATTACAGCGACTTCTGCGTAGGGAATTTTTTTCTAGCGCTGTAATTGGCTTGCGCTCAATTGGCTCGTGTGCAATTGCTATACACTACTCTAAGAAATAAACGACAATACGAGAAAAATATCAGGGCGCTCCGAGATTCAAACCGAGATTTGATCTTTTTCGAAATGACAGACTTCCTGTCACTGAGCCATACACGAGTGTATAGCAATTGCACATGAGCCAATTACGCACAAGACAATCACAGCGCTAGAAAAAAAACTTCCTACACAAAAGTCGTTGTAACTGGTAGTGGACAATTGTGTTACAGTGTGCATGTAAACTGCATCCTAAGCCACACAATCCTGACGCTGATAGCTTCTCTATTGTGCCTATTTTCTCTAAATTTCTCATATATGTACTACATAACCGAAAAATTATCTAAATATGACTGAAAATTTTCAGAAAAGCGCTGATTGATCTCTCAAGAAATAAACATTATAATTAGAGTGCCTAGCTGCAAATATAGAGTATATATAAAAGATTGCTATTTTATTTATGCGTTTGTCGTATAACAAATTTTTCAACCCTGTTGGCTGTAGAATAAAAGGATTCAACAACCTCTCTGTCCTGCATAGGGCTGCGTTCAAATTTTCCACCCGGGTGCACCTAGACATCCAGAAAGCATTCAGATTCCTTTTGAGTGCCTTCATTGGTTAGGTGAAACGTTCAGATTCCTACTCTATCCACCCAGGAGGAATAGATGCTAGTGGCGCATTAAAGACTTCTTGTGCTATCCCAGCGTTTGACGTGCATCTATACAAAAAATTAAATTTCACATTATATCTATGTGTTATAAACAGTATAAATCATAACTCAAAAGGAGCTAAATATTTAATCATCTATTAAGTTTTACAAATCGGAACTTAAGATATTGGTAAGATATTTATCTTATAATCTTTCATCATTATTATATATATTTTAGTTATATATATTTTAGTTATATATTATAACTATAATTTATTATAACTGTAATTTATATTAAATCTAATATATTTACGTTACTATTTGCTGTAACTGAGCATGTAGAACACTCTCTTATCTTAAAGCGTTTCAATCCGAGTGGATTTGCATTAACGTAGGTTGGATTAATGAGATATATGCTTTCCTAGCGGAATATTCCTGGTGGAATATGTAACGTCAATCAATAGTAAAACATAATCCGACCCAAATGGGAGCAAATTCATTTGGGTCGAATACGCTATTAAGGGTCCTTTACATAGAAGTCGTAGAAGATCGTGGAATCTTAAGTCAGAAATTAATTAATTCTAATCGAATATTCCCTTATGTCTGATTGTGATTGGTTGGTTTCCTACAACTTAAGACTCTACGATCATCTATGACTTCTATGTAGAGAACTCTTTAAAGTGCGTTCAGATTCCCAAACTATTCCAGTACTTTCAGCGATCACCCACCCGGTGAGAAATCTGAACACAGCCAAGGGGGTCGATTATGGATTTCGAAAAGAGGTGAAAATTACAAAAGTGAGCAAAGATTACTAAATATTGACCAATTAAATTATGAATATTCTAGTGAATTTGCTCACTTTTGTAATTTTCACCTCATTTGAAGATACATAATCGATCCCTAATATGTATGTATGTACATATATTTGTCGTACGTCAAAAACGCACAAATGAAATAGCGACAGAGTATCTCAAGTAAGAGCTAGTACGGACTAAAGTGCCTATAATAAGAGTACGAACAACAGAACGTGAATAAGACAAAACCGGAAACACATCAAAACGTGAATGCATTTTCAAATGTGAAGTGTAAAACTGAAATTGTATATACATATAACAATGGGTGCGTTCAGCAGAACGCAACTGTTTTATGAATATCTGCTGAAATAAGACTATTCCTTCAAATTTTAAAATATAATTTAATTAGTGCGAAGAAAACTTTTAACAATTGCAAAGTAAATATTCTGTTAAAAGTAAAGGAAAGGAACCAATAATTTTATAATAAATAAATTAAAAAAGGATGACAACAAAAAGTAAATAAAATAGAATGAAAGTTAAATTTGTTTAAAAAATAAATAGTATGAAAATAAAGCTTAAAAATAAGATGTGACGAGTATTAACTACCTTTTTAAAAGAGTATATTTATTTTTTTATTATTTTAAAACACACATGTGACACTGACATTGATGTATTCTTCCAGATCTAAAATGCTGATTGGATGATCTAAAAAAATACACCAATAACAGCGAGCGCTCACTCAACTGTTAAGGAGGTAAAAATTATAAAAGTGAGCAAAGATTACTAAATATTGACCAATTAAATTATGAATATTCTAGTGAATTTGCTCACTTTTGTAATTTTCACCTCATTTGAAGATACATAATCGATCCCTAATATGTATCTATGTACATATATTTGTCGTACGTCAAAAACGCACAAATGAAATAGCATCCGCTGAATGCGCCTAATTAATTGGCGATCCAGCTTTGCCAATGAAAACGCTATCAATGCGCATGCGCCAGAAAAGAAACACATTCTAGCAACACTAGTTTAACGTTTGCTGCGTTCCATGCATTCGGTCTGAACTTGAACTAGGCAATAATCTGATGTGAAAATATTGTTCGAATTTAAAATTGTTTTTATTGGAATATTGGAGTTATATAAATACTACCAAAAACAAAATATATACACATTCCTATAATAAATATAAATTAATAAGTAATGGCTGATGAAGATTTCGACGGAGACGAGTAAGTTATCAAGAATTGTTTGAGGTGTATAGGTTACTTGTATCGCATTATTTAATTAAAATAGTCAAACTTCTTTTTTATTACAATTATTCTTTATCGCAAATTAGAAAGCGCTAGAAAAAATTTGATGACTAATTACAATTTATATAGACAGATTACTTGTTTGTAATTAATTTAACTGTATTCTGTAGAGTCGCAGATGATTTCGACGATGTAGATGACGAGGACAACATTGAGTTAGAGCCTCAGGAAGATGATGGTGAAAATATCGAATTATTGAATGCGAATGAAGCTACTGGTGGTGTTCAAAGATCAAAGAGAATAACAACAAGATATATGACTAAGTATGTAGTATATATATATATATATATATATATATTGTGTTTGTATATGTATGTATGTGTATGTGCATGTGTATGAGTAGCTTCTTAAATATCATGTAATTGATGTTTTAGATATGAAAGAGCAAGAGTTCTTGGCACAAGAGCATTGCAAATAGCAATGTGTGCTCCTGTGATGGTAGAATTAGAAGGCGAGACAGACCCATTGCAAATTGCTATGAAGGAATTAAAGCAACGAAAAATTCCTATAATTATACGCCGCTACCTGCCTGATAATAGTTACGAAGATTGGGGTATCGACGAACTAATTATAATAGATCATTAATCTCGACCTCAAAGCAAATTATATTATTTCTCGACAAATATATTTATTATTGGTACAGTAAATAGCATTTTATATGAAAAAAAATCTTATTCTAAGTCATTACTTCTAAATTGTATCAGAGACTACTAAATTCTTCCCTTTTTATTTCTAGATATCCTTTACGTAAATTATTTTAGGGTTTTATATTGGGCTACGTTCCAAAACGTCTTTTCCGACGAAGATTTCACTCTATATGTTATAGTGTGCATTATGTATACTATATATTTTGAGTAAAATTTTCCTCGGAGAGGAAGTTTTGGAACGTAGCCTTGGTACCTTACAGTTATTGCTATTCTACAATTGCATTATAATTAATGAAACATCAGTTCTCTCAGTATATTCATATAATTTTACGTTGCGTTAATTAATAGACTTTTATTAGACTTACAAAAATTGAATTGGTTATATTTTTTTTAATAAAAAAGGTGACAAATATTTTTATTTAAATATTTTATTCCAATTTCCAATATAATTTTAAAATCAACGTAGAGATATAATATGAAATTGATAAAACATGAATCAATAATATATTGACAAAGTATTATTAATAATTATTAAAGACGTACGGCCCTGTAAATTTTTATAACTATCAAGTAACAAGTATTATCAAGGGTGTTTGATGCTTACAAGGCTTGCAAAAATTAAAGGATCACTTATATATGCCGTAAGCTATATGCTAAATGCCATTCAGCCAAATGTTAGGAGAATAATTGATTTCAGGGTACTTCCCCATGACAGTCGCAAAGAGAATTTCAGATCTTGCTTAAAATTAAAATAACGTTGTGATGCGATAAAACCTTAATCATTTAAATCACTGACGAGTTACTATTAAAAACGGCCAGCCTTACTGAAGTAGAGGAACAGGACTTTAAGGTCTTCTTTCGCCAACTCCGATTAATTTTCAAATAGCGCACTATATTTGATTTGAGATTTTAAAACGCACGGGTGTGTGTTATCTCAATGTTTTCAATCGCATATATCTTCACATATAATGCACAGAATTGGAACAATTTTTTTTCAATTGGTAAAAGATCACAAAGATGAATGAATAGGTGTGAAAATTGAGAAATTGAAAATATTCGAAATATTTAGAAAAAAAGAAAAAAAATGTTTTAATTTGTAAAGAATACAGTTTTTTTTTTAAATTCGTAGTTTCAAGAGGAAAATTGTTAGGGTAGAGTCCCATGAGGTATATTTGCCGCGTATCGTGTAACCACGTAATCAATAAATAATCAGTAAAACGCGAAATCACAACAGCGAATCGCTTTTGATTGGTTACGCGGTTATGCAATACGCGATAGTAAATACACTTCATGGGACTCCATTCTCAGAGAGATTTTTCTAGCGGAATTTCAAACGTAATCGAACATACTCTTCGAAAAAAAAATACCGTTATTTCGATTATTTTCAAAAAACATTTTCATTATATAGAATTCAATAATCTAATAAATAAAAAACGACCGTGGAAAATTCCCATTTGATCCTCTGAACCAATTATAATGGAGAATTAATAGTGCAGGGGATATATAAAACTTTTTTTATCCCCTATTCTAATCCATTCTACCCTTACGGCTTGTAAATGCTTAGCGCTGTTATATACGGTTTGAATGTATGTAACCCAGCGCTCCAGCTGAAGGACAATACATACTAACAGCGTAAGGGTGCTATTTCATTTGTGCATTTTTGTTGTATGACAAATGTATACAGAACAGAAAGATCTTCGGATCTATTTATCCTATCCAATCAACACAGGCTTGAAAAATTTGTCGTACAACAAAAAGACACAAACAAAATATCACCCTTATGTGTACCAATGTATACATACTTTGGTTACATGCGCATTGCGCTGTGGTCACAATATTTCGTGAAATTTAAAACAAGTGCAACATTAACATTGTTAGCTACATATGTCAACAATGCAAAACAATTCTGCGAATCTGCTTTAAAACATAAATTCACTGCTTTTCTCTGTTATAGTAATGAATTTATGTTTTAAGGCAGTGCATTTATGATTTTAAAATAGTGAATTTGTTTTTAAAGCAGAAAATTTGTGTTTTTAAAGATGTTATTTAATTATAAGTTTTTGTCATATACGACAAAGTACAAAAAGGTCCTCGGATCTTTCTATCCCATAGCCAACAGGCTTGAAAAACCTCTAATGTCTCAAACTTTAACGCTTAATAACTTTCGGAAACAAAACTGCCGCGTTTTTCTGCCAGATTCTTTCGTTTTGAATTAAAACACGTCGAATAAGTATATTTTTATTAAAATTTGAGCCGAGGAAGCGATTCCGAATAATTACGAAAAATATTTTTGTTTTTGAAGATTTGCATAAACACGTCTTTGTATAAATAAATTACTTTCTATACCTTAATTATTTTTAATAGTTATGTTCATAGTGGACCATGGTTGTGTTATACCATTTGTACTTTCTGCTTTTTTTTTCTTTTTAGTAATCGAAATTTAGTAGTTGGATAGGATTTACGTGCTCCTCTGTGCCTTCAAAAACGTGTTCTGCTTCTCAAGCAGCAGTAGCAACACCCAGGTAGGTATTCGAACATCGGAACATGCCCGTAAAGAAAAGCTCTCAACGAGTTGGCAACACTGGACGTCTTTAGTCGTCGCGGTTTGTCGCAATTTGTCTGAATTTGTCGTGAGCACATTGTTTTACGTTGCTTGATGTAAAAATAGATCTTTAAAGATTGACACAAGCGTTACTAAAAATCTTAATATAAAATGGTTCTAAGTCCGACTACGAAACAGAGGATAGTCATTGTTCTGAATATGAGCAAATTTGTATTTCAATGGGGTTTTATTCCTGCCGTACTCTTTTTAGGTTAGTTTTCAAATTTTATAATGGATATGTTCCACTTGATTATTCTTTTACTCTCGCGATCATCATTTCATCCTTGTTATTCATCAAATGTTAAACAAGGATGCAATAGTGCTCGTGAGCATTGTAAACGCCAAGTACATAGAATATACCCGATCGATAGATTTGACTGGTTTGCATTGCTTGACATCTAAAAATGTTTGTACTCAAAACGAAATATATATGTATATATGAGTTTGAAAAGGAAAAAAAGCGAAGATACTGTGTGCAAACAGTACAAGCAACGCAAACAAACCTATTATTTTGTTTGCATAGCAATACTAAAAAGTTTCAATATTTTATTTTTAGGATTCAGCAAAGGTGCTGACCCAGGCATGCCTGAATTAACCCTTATGAAGTAAGCGATTGTAAAAGAATTTGACAAAAGTGTTTTGAATTATTATTTTATATATTTGGACTTTGAGTACTTTTTGTTTAGTAACATAAGTCGAAATAGCATTCTATCTTAACATTCAGAACTAAAAAAAAAAAGAATGACATTTGTGTCGACTTGAGTCACTAAATGGAGAGCACCATTTGTAACATTGTTTTTTTTTTACAGCTTATTATGGCAGTGAGTCTTTCATAGGTTTCATAGGTTTCATTCCAAAAGAAATTATGGATACCATTGATGTTGCATGGATACATTTTATTTAAGGTTACAATGTTTCTAATTATCAGAATAATAGATTGTATCTCATTAAATAAATGTTATATTGTTAACTGAAATTCAATTAATTGTTTTTTAAAAGATGTTGTGTATAGGAACATTCTTGTGATGACAATGATGAGTAGTGAATGAGGAATAAAAAGGAGTTCTCTTTAAAGGTGGGTTTGACATTGCAAATTGGAGACGTCCGTTTGCTCTTTTACCTCGAAATTGTTTGACGACTCACATCTTTCTGTTACATGTCATCTCATTTGCGTTCGGTATTAACATTTTGGCATAGAGCCAATCGAGTTGCTTGATCCACTCTGGATTCAAAAACTAAACTCGCAGAGCTAATGTAGATTTTCGCGCATAAATTAAATTCATAACCTGTATATTTATGATAATATATCCAACTGATTCATTAACACATACATTCATCTCTTTTTAATATTTCTATTTTACAAATAGTATATTTGCACTGTTATAATATCTCAGTCTACAAACGCTCAAACAAATGTTATCAAATAGAAATTGATGGAGCATATTACAATATATATATATATATAT